CTGGAAGAAGAAAGGCGAGAAAGGGTGAGGAAAGCAGTTGTGGAGGATGAAGGAAGTGAAGTATAAGGAGTTCTTGAAATTTTCCAAGGGGATATACCACATTTTTAAGAAGGAAGAGAGGTTGAAGAAGCGATTGGCGCCCAGGATGAGGAAGAAGTTGAGGTGGAAGAGGCTTGCACCAACCATGAGTTACATGTGATATCTCCACCAAACTTCAAGGAGCTTCTTGGCAAGGACCTGTTTGCAGTGTCTCTTTTCAAACCAAGGCCACATCAGCATCGGTCCCTCTTGGTGGACGCGATGGTGGTCAATTAATGTTGTTATATCTATTTTGGGGTAATAAGACAAGAGAAGAAGCGAAAGAGAGGTCTCGAGTGTGGAGACGCCATCTTCCTCAAGGGCACGAGCCATCTTCATCACATATCATACCGCCTGCTCGTGACTTAAGACTCCATCTCATCTACGAGAACCTCAACTTCAAGGAGGTTTTGGGGTGGACAGAACACTTAGGAGCCACCGTCCAGCTAACGACGTGAAAGAAGAGCTTGTTGGGAGGCAACCCAACGAGTTGGTTTGCATTTCTTTCCCTATTTCTCTTCACTTGAGTCAGTGTTGTGCTATGATTTTCAAGTCAATAAATCTACCTTTTTGAGATTTTGTGTGGTATTTTTGGTTCCACCTACTTTCTCTTCCATGGAAGGCACCTCTTATTCCATCCACCATCGTTCATCACCCAATCTAGTAACATCGTTTCCCTTATCCTTCCCTCTTCTCCATTGAGGGCAATGTCGATCTTAAGTGTGGGGGGTGTTTATCGATGTTTATCTTTTACTAAATGGATGTATTTGTGTACTTGGAGCCTAGTCCACTGTCCAAATCTTGAGATTTGAGGGCTCCAAGTACGGATGTTTAAGTGTGGGGGGTGTTTAACATCGTTTCCCTTATCCTTCCCTCTTCTCCATTGAGGGCAACGTCGATCTTAAGTGTGGGGGGTGTTTATCGATGTTTATCTTTGATTAAATGGATGTATTTGTGTACTTGGAGCCTAGTCCACTGTCCAAATCTTGAGATTCGAGGGCTCCAAGTACGGATGTTTGCATTATCATATTGGCACTGTGGTTTTATATGGTGAATCGATTGGATGTTAGCATTGATGCATGATAACTTGCTTGTGACTAAGACAACCTATACTGAGACGTGTAGTAGAGTTGTGTACGGGTTCATTTTTTCAACTATTTGCTTACTAACTGTGACTTGGATTGATCAATCATTTTTCACAGTCGTTTATGCATCTAGTTCAGGGAATCAAAATGAGAGATAAAGCATATAGGTAGCCATGTGAGATTTGAGCCTGCTCGTTTCTTTCTTGTGCGATAGATCCCTCTTCCATGATGTGTAGCATTCACGTCGACACTAATTAGAATAATGGAGGCATAGGATTAACCCACGACCAAATTGATTGTCCTGGTGTGTCATATCCCCTAGCTAGTCAATCCCTTTGAGCCGTATAACTTTCTTTCTTTGTGTCTACAATGAAAAATCACCCTTTTGCATCTCTTTGTAGTTCCACGGGGTGGTTTTGCATGTTTTCTGCTGGAAATGAATGGAGGGTTGGAGGCAGTTTTTAAAATTTGGGCATGTGCTTGCAAGGATAAAAAGAAGGTGACAAAAGTGGTCGTTCTCTAAAGAAAATATATATGGAATGAAAGCAAAAGAGAACCACCACAAAAATCTAAATCGTGCTCATTAAATAGTGTTCCTTAGCAGCCTAACTTGGAAATACTAACTTGTTGTGACCTCCTTCACTCTTGTGCTCTAAAGAACTTGATTAATGCATAATGGCATAGAGAAAGTAAATGGTTTGAATGAATGTAGATGTGTTGGTTTTGGAACTGTGAAATCTTGTGTAATGAATTCTTCCACCACCTAAAAAAAAATCTTTTCCCCATGTCCAAAACTCTAGCCAGTCATCTGAATCCGTGTCTAAGACCTCCGGACATGTTAGTGGTGACACCCAATATATGAAATCTAGCATGTAGAGGTTGTCGTCATGGTGAAGAGACGTTAGGGATTGAAATTAAAGTAAGAGTATGCACACATCTTGCATCAAATTTTGTCTTGACCCCACTGGTCGAGAGTGAGTGATTGAATTTTCATATTATGTACCCTGGCTTGGACCTAGATTTCTCGGTCTTGATTTTGATGTCTTGAATCCTATGCATGAGGTGAATATTTTGAATGAGCGGTTGAGTCAAGTCTATATTGGTCGGTGAACAGAAGGGACACTCTTCCTCTACCCAATTTTGTTGCACTCGAATGCCATCTATGGTGGTTGTCTAGGTTGGTTTTGCTCTTTTCATGTGTTGATGTGTAAAAGCTAGTACGATTCATGTTTTTTGTGCCTATATGATATGTCGCCAAAGTTTTCATGAATAAAACGTGTTTAGCTTACCATGTGCCTGACTTAGTTTGCTTGGGGACAAGAAAACTGTTAAGTGTGGGGGAATCTGATAGAGTCATATTTGCACATGTTTGCACTCTTGCTTCTTAACTGATTTGGCACGAAAATTTGGTTTCATGGCCTATTTTATGCTAGGTTGTGCTATTTTGTCACATTTCAGGTCCTAGCAGGTAGAGGAAGGCTTAGGCGCAAATTTCGGGTAATTTGGAGATCATTTGGTGGTGAGGGAGACAAAATACCATCGTCACCTACCTGAAGCACGACCGTGCTTCACTTGATGGTTGGTGGTGTTTATTTTTCCGAGCGTGTTGATGGTCTAGGAGCAAATTATGGGCAAGCCTTCCTAAAACATGACTGTATTTCACCAATGACTCGCTCGTGTTTTTAAAGACGAAGCTGGCTCTTGAAGAATGTTGAAGGAAAGCGAATTACGGGCAGGAAGATAAAAGCAACGTCGGTGCTTCTCAAAATACCGCCGGTGCTTTTCAAAATAATGTCAGGGTTTTACCCAGACGCAACTATGGATTTATCCGTCCCAACTTAAGTAAAACACGTGATCTGGTCCAAACACGATCAGAGGAGAAGCACAACCGTGCACTTGCCCGTATTTTGCCCACTATCGGGGTAAATAGGCATATTCGAGCCAAAGGAAGAGGATTCGACTTTTTGGAACAAAAACAGAGTTCTAGAGAGATAAAGTGATGAAGAACAAACCCTAGGAGCTATTTAGAGTGGATTTCTTACCACTAAAACCCAGATTGCATACCAGGACTCAAGATTGACATCCCAAAGCAAATTTTACACATCATTATGAGTGTGACTGCTTTGATTTCTATTTTCCTCTCTCCCTCTATGGAGTAGACATTTGTCTCACTTGGGTATGAAGACCTTAGTTCCATGTGTTAGGAATCTTGCTTGTAATGACTTTTGGATGTTATACTGGATGATTTTAATCGATTGAGGCATTTTTATTGAGTCAATTGAATCATGATCAAGCTCTCGTGACTTCTGTTTTAACCTATGATATAGATAAGAACTTCTTCAATTGATAGTAGTGAATTGGTTGTGCAAAAGTCGGTCAATTCACTACTTTGTTCTAGAATTTGTTCCAAGTAGAGGAGATCTGTGTGAATCGCCTTAGCAGTCTATACTGCTGAAGGCTAGTCGCCTACTGGGTATTATGTCTAAGAGGGCTTGGTCAATTTAAGAGATTCCAAGCTATTTTCGGATCTTCTGCAGTCTAATTGATAGTAAAACAACCAAAGGGAATTATAACTTGAACCTAACCTAGGAGATAGGAGGACTCGATCCCGAGTGACACTTCTCTTGCTCATCTAAACCGAACAACTTGCTGCTTTCTTTCTACTTTAGTTTAAACTCATTCTCACTCAACTTTTCCCAGTAGATAATATAATTTCATGAAGTAGGCAGTACATCTAGGCCCTAGGTTGACTTTTATTACTTGTCCCACTATACTGCATTTCCATTCTACTATTACACTTGGTCGTAGTCTGGTGTTGTGTTTTAGCGAGTTAGCGATATCGCATGCCTCCTGCCTTATTCAACCGATTTATGAATGATGTTCTTTAGTACGATGACTACTTCAAGTAAGAGAAAGATTGCTCGGCTCGCAACTCATTCTCTCCACATCAGAAACTTATTAGTTTAGTTTGCATGCTTGCTTATGGATGCTCAACAGACTCTTCGGATGAGACATGTCGAATGGCTGAGAGCACCATACTAGTGTGTCTGAGAAATTTCAGCTCGACTATCACCAACATTTATGGTGCTCAATACTTGCGTGCACCAACAGTAGATTATACTTGTCGCCTCCTTCATCATGATGCACAATATGCCTTTCTGGGCATGATTTGTTCTATCGACTGAATGCATTGGGAATGGAAGAACTTCTCGGCTGGGTGGCTAGCCAATACACTGAGCATAAGAAGAAACCAACAATTTCCCTCGAAGCTGTAGCATCGTACAATACATGGATTTGACATGCCTTCTTTGGGACGCATGGATCAAACAATGACATCGATACTCTTGGAATGTCCCCACTATTCAATCAAGCAGTTCTAGGACTGGTTCCCAAGGTCAGTTACGAGGTATATGGTAAGATGTATGGTCAACGTTATTACTTGGCAGATGAAACTTATCCTGAGTGGGCTACATTTGTGAAGGCCATTAGCAATCCAAGTAACCAGAAAAGAAGTTGTTTGCAAGGTGTTAAGAGGCTTACCACAATGATGTTGAGCGGGCCTTTGGCATACTTCAAAAAATATGAGCCATTGTTAGGGGCTTGAGTCATCTTTGGGACGTGCAAACGCTTAGTGATATCATGTTAACTTGTATTATTATGCATAATATGATAGTAGAAGATCACTGATACGAGTATGGGGATGGGGAAGAGGTGAACATTGAGTACGAGATTAATCCAAATGTCAGATGGGAGCTACGCGAGCATAACATTCCTACTCTCATGGAATACATTCCAAGACATTATAGGATTCATGATCGACAAGAACATCACGCATTGAGGCCCATTGTTTTCTTATTCGCGAAGAAACCATTTTACAAAAAGGAAGGCATTTGCATTAGCAACTGAAGAATTACAATCTAGGAAAAGCGCACATCAAACATAAGTCAACTACATAAAATTACAAGCTATAAAGCAGCAAATTCAAAATATTACATGTCGGGAGCATCTTGGTAAGAAGCCACAATGTCATATTTTTGTCTCTAATACCAAGCCCCAGTTCGAGGACTCATTTGAGAAAGATCCTTATTCATTACCATCATCCCATGTCTATTCTTCTCCCTTAATTCTCTTGCTCTATCTCTTGGTTCTCTTTCAACTTCGCGTTTCTCTCTAGCGAGCGCTAGCATTTTGAATGTCAGGGCTATCATTCTCACTAGATGGCATGCTTAATGAAGATCCACCCATTGGTGGAATGGATGGCACGGGGGAAAGAAATAGTTGCAGAAACTCTGGAGAATGTTGAAGTATCTCCCAACAATGCTGCAAGGCGAAAAGCTTCCTGGTGTCTTCATAAAAAATTTCTTTTGCTCGTTCAACCTAGACAATTAATTTAAGTATTTTAAACTAATATGAACAAGCTAATCAATTTAAAAAGTAACTGCAAAATAATAACTTTTTTCACTTAACTAACCACATGTTGAGGTTTTCTCCGCTCATTGGTGTCGTGTTTGCTCTTCTCGACGCCGCATTCCATGAACCACATTTCTTGAGTATGGTTTTCCATCAATTTTGTAGGCCTTCGTCCGGACCTGAAATGCCTGTGCTATTCTCGAAAAATATTACCCCAACGTCCCTTCAAAATTTATTCAATGATTGATAATGGTTGACAGAATCGTCCTCCGAAATTTCAATCCATGCCTTGCCCAAAACTTCAAATTCGGACTCCTTCCAATTCGGTGGGCGGTTGGTTGAGACATGATCAGGAGTTTGGGAGGAAGAGAATATTTTTTTTCTTTTATGAGAAGAAGATGAATAAAACAATTGGAAAGAAAATAATTTGAATTGGTGAAGAAGTGTAGGAATTATGTGTATTTATAGGGAATTTTTTTTGAAAATAGCTATTCGGGCTCAAATAGCCGTTGCGGAGGAATTTGCGCGCTGAAAGATAGAATCTATAGTCATAATTTAAACCCAGCATGTCCTCTTCCCTCTCTTGATGGTCTCGCCCATTTTGCACCTTCTTGTCTCTTTATGGTTCAAATTTGAATCAAAAATCATATTTTTTGGAACATTGCATTTTCTAAACCCTTATTAAAGAAGGTTGGTTCCAATTTTGTGGAACTTTGGACATTATTAAAGATGGTCTAATAGATTGTTACACAATCAAAATCTAAATAAGGTTACTCTGAAATAGTTGTGGTTCTTTCTTGACGAAGTAAGAACTTTTTATTTTAACATTGTGGAAACTCCAGCAGTTGTGGTTGAATACTCAACTTTCCAATATAACTCAAGCATGCAAGAATAAGTTCCTCTTTCCAAACCCTTATTAAAGAAGGTTGGTTCCAATTTTGTGGAACTTTGGACATTATTAAAGATGGTCTAATAGATTGTTACACAATCAAAATCTAAATAAGGTTACTCTGAAATAGTTGTGGTTCTTTCTTGACGAAGTAAGAACTTTTTATTTTAACATTGTGGAAACTCCAGCAGTTGTGGTTGAATACTCAACTTTCCAATATAACTCAAGCATGCAAGAATAAGTTCCTCTTTCCAAACTCATGAAAATTCCTGAATTTTGGGATGTCAGATGCAACAAAACAAAAACATCATTTTCCAATCCAATTTCCCACCTGTCAGCCCTCGAGCAACGAACCACCACATCAAAATGATCCTTTTATGTTTATATACTGACCGAACCGATCATAGTAATTATGTAACAAACATAATTCATTCTAAATGAAACTAACACAAATCGACCAACCATTCATTAATAATAGTTTAAAGTTTTCCAGTAAATAATATATAGTTGCTGACTGAATCTGGTTTTTAGTAAAAGAACCAAATTTGAAGAAACCCATACGGGCATTAGCTCATCCAACACGAAGGCTAAAGAATAAGATAGAAGCCCGGGATTATTCGCTCGGCTTTGAAAGTCTTCCGGCATAAATATTATGTACGATTTCTTTTCTTATAGTCACTCATTCCACAAGAAGACATCATAACAGAAGCGCACACACCAATATGTCATTCCTTTCTAAAGGGTGGCGCACTAATTCCTCTTGTGACAAATATTTTCTAGTCTGAACTAGAATTTTTTATAGCTTCTCTCTGCTCGTTGAATGGAGAGAAACAAGTGAAATGAAACATAACCAGAACACAAGAAAGGAAAATCATGTGCTACCTAGGACAGGGAGAACAAAGGAAGTGATCCTCTTGATGTGAGTTATATATTTCAATCATATGTATTTTGCAAGCATATACAATTAATTTCCTCCAATAACTCAACGTCAACATGGATGATATTGAGATAACTCCATTATCTGTACATAAATTATTCTCAACAACTATACTATTTTGAAAGCAGTATTCAGAATGTGTTGTTACATATATGTATTGTATGATAAATTGCATTCACAATTCATGATACTTCAAAATGTTCTCTTTTCGTGTGTTTGTGAAGTACACCACTCAAAAGCAAGCAAATTCTAATTATTTTATCATGGAAACAATTATAAGAAGAAGTGTGACCACAAAAACAAACAAGAATATGATGTTAATGTTAACCGTATCATGTTTTTCATATGCCAAGAAATATATCTATCCAGATACGGGTTTCACACTTCCGGTCAACTATCAAAAGTTGCTGTCAATTATTAAAAGAGTCTCTAGATGTTGCAACCAAATGCCCACTGAAGTCTGAAGAACGATGAATGGTGTAACAACTAATAAGATTATTAATAATATTTTGGTTTTGCTTTTATGAGACTCTAAATGTAAATCCCTATTTTTTTGACAAATTATAAAGCCCTTAATTAGCTAACCTCACTAATCTCCACTTCTCCCTATATAAGTAGAGGTGGAAATTGGTAGGGTGTAAATATCTCAATACTAAATATCGAAATTTCGAATATTAAATAGTGTTCTAAACTCAATTACAAATACAATCTCAAAATAAATTTGCCATCTCATTCTCAATTCTCAATATATTGTATGGTATCGTTATATACTATATACCAAATTAATTCTTTTCGGAAATACATATCAAATATACAAATGCAAATACTTCTATCTGCCAACAGCTCCACAATCCATTCTCAATATATATGAAAACAAACAATAGTGTCAACACTCGTGCAAAACAAATGAGAACTATCTCGAGTGTAATAAGAACAAACTAGAAAAATGTGATGCCTTGCTAATAAACACATTAACAAACTAAAATAAGTAAAAACTAAGTAACATGTAAACTTACTATAGGTTAGGGATGGAAATGGGTTGCAGGGCCGGATAATGCATATTTATTACCTACGCAACATAGTTTGAGTTTTACCCATACCCATGCACATAGAAGAATCGCGTACAATATCAAAACCATATGTATACCTGATCAGGTTTCGGGTATTCACGGTTATCCATGAATAATAATTATTTTTTATAACTTCAACCACTATATTAATAATAACACATATACTGACATTAAATAAGTGACAAATAACAGCAATAAATTACTATAATGAAGAAAGTGATACCACACACATTGCGGATCAGGTAAGAAAGTAGATACTCATGCTTTGTCGCCACGCTATTACGAGCCATGTAATACACGCCCTATTGTGGATCAGGTCGATCGGGTAATACCCGGCTGGACGGGTTGGAATTGCATCCTTGGTTGTAAATTGTAATGTGTACACCCATCTAACCGAATGAAATAAGGGCGGAAAACAAAGTTGGGCTAGTTTGGCCCTGCTATAGTTTTTGCAGAAGCAGCTTCTGGCTGTAGCTTTTAGAGAAGGGGAGCGGATACTATAACAACACAAGGGGTGTTGTTATAGTAACAGCAGGTAGGGGTGGGCAACGGGAAACGGGTATTTGGGTATACCCGTACCCGTCCCGTTTTTTAAGCGTTACGGGTACTCATATTACCCGTAATGTTTTAAACGGATGGGACATGGGATTGTACAGTCCTAATATGGGTACCCGCGGGTTACCCGCGAATACCCGTTTGGGTAATATGGGTACCCGTTGTACCCATTCAAATTACAAAGACATATAATTCAGCCCATGCGCCCAGGCCCAACCCAATTCAAAATCCATTTAATTCAGCCCGTGAGAGTTGAGACACTGACGCACCCCTAGGCCCTAGAAGACGCGAGACATGCGATGGCAGGCGGCAGCTTCTCTGGAATTTGGAAAGGTCAGAATCTGTCTTGTGTCTTGTCCCTGGCTGGAGGAGTCGTCTTCGTGGGACGAGAGAGAAGAGACGAAAGGTTGAAACCTAGCTCGCCTCGGGCCTCGGCGCCTTCTTCATTCACCGCCGCCGCCTCTGAGTGCGTGACTAATTGTCTTTAGGTAAAATGTCATTTAAACTTTGGGTATTTATGGGTAGTATGGGTACCCGTTATCCGTCCCGTACGGGTAATGGGTACCCGTTTCCCATATGGGTTTGGGATATGGGATGGACTTTGGTCTCCAAATGGGACTGGGTACCCGTTTAAAACGGGACGGGTATCCCGTCCCGTCCCATTGCCCACCCCTAACAGCAGGGTAAAAGGGTCAATTAACAAAATATAACAAAAATCAAAATTTGGACAAATTAAAACCCTGCTTCACCACTAGGGATGGCAATGGGTCGGGTTTTTCCAAACCCAAACCCATGGGTTTATCCGTGAAAAAAACCCGGGGTAAAACCCACTGGGTTTGAAAAACTCAAACCCAACCCAACCCCGCTGGGTATCCGTGGGTTCATGGATACACACGTGTTTTTGTCGTAAAAAATTTACAATAACAAGTTCCTATCAAAATTAAAGTCAAATATCAATATCTCAATAAAATTATCCATATATAAAACACCATTCTAGAAAATTCAAGCAAATCATAAATTAATTATACAAATTATTCAACACCAATCTAGAAAACTCATTGTCAAAATAAATCTGGAAAACTCAAGAAAATTGAAGTAAATAAAAAATTATCGATAAATAACATGATTAATTGAAAGTTTCTTCCTTTCAATTAAGTTTTTTCACTCTCCACTCGATAACATCAACTTCATTCTACACAATTAAAAAGAAAAAAAATTAGACATGTCTCCACAAAAATTAATAAGATTAGTTGTTTAGAATATGAAATATACCGAGAAAATTAATTATATGGGTGTTGGCGGGTACCCATGGGCCAAGTTTACCTAAACCCAAACTCAACCCAATCTGGTGAATAGTGAACGAGTTTAAACGCAAACCCGGCCCAAAACCCGTCAACACGGATTTTACCTGCGTTGACCAGGTTGGATCGGGTTGGTACCTGTGAGTTCAGGTTTTATTGTCATAAATTAATTATACAAATTATTCAACACCAATCTAGAAAACTCATTGTCAAAATAAATCTAGAAAACTCAAGAAAATTGAAGCAAATAAAAAATTATCAATAAATAACATGATTAATTGAAATTTTCTTACTTTCAATTAAGTTTTTTCACTCTCCACTCGATAACATCAACTTCATTCTACACAATTAAAAAGTAAAAATTAGACATGTCTCCACAAAAATTAATAAGATTAGTTGTTTAGAATATGACATATACCGAGAAAATTAATTATATGTGTGTTGGCGGGTACCCATGGGCCAAGTTTACCTAAACCCAAACTCAACCCAATCTGGTGAATAGTGAACGAGTTTAAACGCAAACCCGGCCCAAAACCCATCAACACGGATTTTACCCGCGTTGACCAGGTTGGATCGGGTGGGTACCCGTGAGTTCAGGTTTTATTGCCATCCCTATTCGCCACTCTCCTCTTTCTCCAACATCTACGACTCCGCCCATCCTCCAACCACTGTCCTCGTAGCCACCGACGTCGTAGCAATTCTCCCCCGTCGCCGCCCGCCCGGGCCTGGGGATGACCACGCTCATGGAGACGACGTCGCCCGTGGAGAATCTGGTGGCGGACGAGCTGTCTTTGGTTTCCCCGGGGTAGGCGTCGTAGAAGCCGTGCTAGATCAGGATCGCCTTTCCCGGTAGAATCTTCTGGTGCCAGATGTGGATCGTTCCCTATGTGTTCATCTAATTCGTCTCCTCGCGCCGCCGGGCACGGCCTTCCTCCCTCGTCATCGTCACCATTAACGTTCGTTTATGCCACCAGATACCATAATTTTCACCGGTTTGTCCTCCTTGCCTTGGACCCCTGTCCAATTCATTGCCATTTGATCTCAACAAAAATGGAATTCTCCCTCGCTACAATCATTGATATCGATTCCTAGCCTATCTCCATTCTATCAATTCCGAGTACAACTGCCCCTCTGCTTTTTAAGCTTTCGTTGTTGATGATCCATCAGGGAATATGAAGTTGTGTTTCCCATGCTTGTATATTTATATACTTATTGACAAAGGAATGGATGTTTGGTTCTGGGATAGCTAAAGTAGGCTTTTAATTATACTACTGAATGTATTGGGCAACTTTCCATAAAGCACCCATCTTGCTTGTAATGTAGTGAATGGGGAGATTGTTGGTGGTTTCGATGCATGAAGATGGACTATGGCATTTGATAATGGTGCAGAAGGCAACCAACAGAGCAGAGAGGTGGAGAGAAGAAGATATATCAATTGTTGCAAGAAAATACGGAGTGAATCGATGATTAATGCTATTTGTACAAGTATGAGTGATTTAATATGGAAAAGCTCTGTTTACATTTAGTGGTTTGCGATTTCAAATGGGATTGTAGCCTTGTAACAGTTTTGTATTCGTTTGTTAGTTATCAGTGTGCTTGTGCTTATGTTTTATAAATACACTATAAATTCTCTAATACAAACCACAAATATAGTAAAACAAATCACAAAATGCATACCAAAAATCTTATAACATAGACCATAAATCCTCTAAAACATAACAGAAACACTAAAAAGCAAACAACAAACACTTTATAAGTACATCAAAATCCTACTAATGCAACCCACAAACACAATAAAACAAACCACAAAAAGCATATCATAAACCTCATAATGCAGTCTACAAATCGCCTAAAACATACCAGAAACCTCACAAAGCAAACCACAGAGTTTCAAAAACACACCAGAAACCTCATAATGCTAACACAAACACGATAAAGCAAACCACAAAAACAAACCAGAAACGTCCTAATGCAAACCAAAAATCTATTAAAACAAACCAGAAACCTCACAAAGCAAACCACAAAATTTTCAAAAACACGCCAGAAACCTCACAAAGCAACCACAGAATTTTCAAAAACACGCCAGATACCTCATAATACAAACCACAAACACGATAAAGCAAACCACAAAAACAAACCAGAAACGTCCTAATGCAAACCAAAAATCTATTAATACAAACCAGAACCCCCGCAAAGCAAACCAAAAATTTTCCGAAAACACGCCAGAAACTTCTTAATGCTAACCAGAAACACGATAAAGCAAACCACAAAATGCATACAAAAAAAATGAGAAACCAAACCATAAATCTCACAATGCACACCACAATATCCGGTGATCATTGACCGTTGACCGGTCAACGAGGTACGTTGACCAAACTCCGACGACCGTCAGTGAGCAGATTCCGACGCCGGTAAGCATATTCCGACCACGGTGAACATATTTCGGCGACGGTGGCCATATTCTAACGCCGGTAAGCATATTCCGGCGACAAAAAGCATATTCCGGTGGCCGACGACTATATTCCGACGACCAAAATTTTGGACAGAAAATAAAATTATATTTTTATTTTTTTATTATTTAAACATATTTTTCATAATGACAATTATACTCATGCTTTGATTTTACACTAGGTCAACTCAGCTAGTAAAAAGTCATCACAACCCTAGCTTCCTATTGGTTAGAGACTAGTGTTGTTACAATAACAACACAAGAGGTGTTGTCACACTATCTAGTCCCTTAGAGAAGTACTGTTAAAAAAAAAGCAGTTAAGTGTTTGGCTGAAAAACTATAAGAAGTGTTTTTTAAAATAAGAACTTATGTAAAATGGCTTTAAAGAATTTATAATATAAAGTATGAATAAATTATAAATAATAAAAAGTAGTCAGTATGGATCTTGTTAGATTTCCTTTATACTAAATAATATAATTTTATAATTTATTTTACTTTTAAAATGATATAAATGAAATAAAATTATATTTTCTTAAATAAAATTAAAATATAGTAAAGATAATTTTGTATTTATGTTATATAAAAGCACTTTTGGCTTTTCAAAAATTCGGAGTTTTAGAGTTGTTTGGCCTTACTTTAATTTTTGAAGCGGAAAATCACTTCTAAAATTCGGGCGAAACATAATATAAAATATGAATAAATATTATAAATAATAAAAAGTAGTCAGTATGGATCTTGTTAGATTTCCTTTATACTAAATAATATGATTTTATAATTTATTTTACTTTTAAAATGATATAAATGAAATAAAATTATATTTTCCTAAATAAATGTAAAATATAGTAAAGATAATTTTGTATTTGTATTATATAAAAGCACTTTTCAGCTTTTCAAAAATTCAGAGTTTTAGAGTTGTTTGGCCTTACTTTAATTTTTGAAGGGGAAAATCACTTCTAAAATTCGGGCGAAACATAAGCATTATACAATACACCACCTATTTAAAACACCCATCTCTTGTATTCACATAGACCCCTAGAATCTTCAACAAATAACCATTTCAAAATATAGGACATGATATTAAACAAAGAGAAGAAGCTAAATAGGAAGCAGACAATTAGGAATCAATTACTACCTACCAAATCCCCTCAACCTCTTTGCCAGAAATCTCAGTGTCTCTCGTGTCTTTTATTTTAAAGTAGACTGCGCTTCCTTCCTACACGATAACATGTCATTTACATTAAAAGAGACGAATTCGTTGACTTGTTTCCTTAGTTAGATGACCACCGCCTGCCTATTCATAAATATTGCCCGTTTCACATTAAGAGAAGTATAAGCTATACTATGTCATTCTCAAAGTTGTGGTAGGGAAGAAAAGATATACAGTTTGGTCAATACTTTTTTTTTTATGAACGGCCAAATTTATGATTAAAATCATACTAATAATAAAATTTCTAATCAATCAGAAAAAAACAATCACAATAAGAAAATGATTATATGGATGCTGTCTTTTTTATGTTTGGCTTATTTTGATTGTATTGTTTTGCAAGGATCTTTTCTTTGTTGTCGCATTTGGATGCGATCACGATATTCATCACTCTCGTAGAGGGTATTTATGGGGAAGTACTCTCCTCTTTCTCTTTATTTGATACCCATCTCGTGAAGGTTTTTTATCGGAAGTTCGATTGCATATGAACTATCATTTTTTATTATTATGCTTTGTAAATTTTGTTGTCCGACCATTCTCTAGGAACTTATTTTGGATAAAAAAAATAGAAAAAAATCATAGACAAGATAATCCGAAACAGCTGCTAGCTTCATTTGATATGTCACAAAAAAAAATTCCTGGTTCGTCCATTCCTTTCTGTTTCTTCTTTCAATATTGACATACAGTTGGAAACATATTATTGGAGACAAAAGAAAAACAATAGCAACAAGAGTTACCCAAAACCCTATAGTAAATTATTACACTCTATTTCTCTACCTCATAATTAAAATAAAAAATCACTAACACCTCCCTAGCTATTTAGCTAAACCCTAAACCTGTGATCCCCTCCTTCGCCGTGAAAAAACCCCCAAAAAAAGATTAATCCACACGTATACTCTATATGCTTTCCTCTCCTTCTCTCCCTATATTATCAATAAGAAGAAGAAATAAATAATACCCATCCCCAAACCCAAAAACGAACACTCAAAAAGAATTGAGTAAAAAAAGTAATTAGTTTCCAGGAAAACTAGAATTCCTATGTTTATTATTATTATTATTATTATTATTATTATTATTATTATTATTATCGGTGTTGTTGTTATTGTTACTGCCCTTAGCGTTGCTCGTATTTATTGCGCCATTACTGTTGCTGGCGGTGGCATTCGCGTTACCATTCCCCTGACCACCGCCACCAATCATCGAACTAATCGCCGCCGCTAAAGCCGCCGTGAAGTGCGGATCCGCGGCGATAGCAGCCGCCGTATCGGCCAACGGATTCTGCTGATGGCCTCCGAATTGCGCGGCGCCAGCATTGTGCTGGTCGATATCTTGTGACATCTGCAACCCAGAAAATTTGGACTGGTTGTGAAGCGCGAATATCTGGGGCAGCAAGGCGGCTGCTGCAGCGGCGGCAGGGAAGCTGCTGCTGCCGCTGCCGCCGCCCTGCAGCGAGGGGATGAAAGGGAGCTGGATTTGGTGGTGGTTGGGTGGTTGCTGCTGCGGCGGCCTGAGGAGAGGGTTTGGGGTATGGGTTAGGTCCAGTGTGACGGTGGGGAACGGCGCCGATGCTGAGATCGTGGCCATGCTGGAAGAGCATGGGAGGAGAGTTCTGGTGAGGAAGTTGGAGTTCATGAGCCCGTCGGCGCTGGACATTGAGCCGGAGAGCAGCATCCTCGCGGCGGAGGATGTGGTGGAGGCCATCGCCATTGCCGCCGGGGGGAGTGGGTGGTTGTGGGTTCCCTCGTAGGTTGTTATCAACACTGTGCGGTCCTCGGCGCACCTTTGCACCTGTTTTTGTTAAAGCAGTACCATTGTTAGACATCAATATTTTGTTTTCCTTGGACATTACTCGTAATGAAAAGGATAAAAACTATGTATAATTTGATATGTTTGTTGTTTAAGTATGCATGCAGCAATAGGGTGTCGTGAACCGGAGGGACGAATATGGAGGCAAAACTGTTGTATCATGTATGCTAGTTCAAGTTCATCTTACACAAGATTTGTATAAGTTGCATTGTAAATTTTTGTACAAGCCAATTAGGTGAATTCATCCGTAATTAGAATCTTGTTAATTGCACAGCACTCAGCTGTTTAAATCTTACTATTTTCAAACATTAATCGTTGTTTTTAATATCAAGTGAAATGAGATTGTGCAGATTAAGTTGAAGTACTAACCTAGCACTTATGAAAGAAGAACAAACTCTGACCTACCACAAGAGGTATGAGAAAAATATCACTTTCATGTTTTAATCTGTTTTCGTATACCCCGGTTATTGAAGTAAATGAGGTTCTCACTTTGTGTTATAGAGGTGCTCTTCTCCTATATTCTCAAATATTGATATCAAAATAAAAATTGAATTTTTACTACAATATTAAAAATATAAATTAAGTTTGTACTATAAAAGAATTTGTAACACTATATTTTGGTGCAGTTCAAATTTTATTTAGTTATTCAGTTAAACAAATGTCAATGATTTGTTATTGGACAAAATAGCAACAACCGCCATTTAAAAATTTAAATTTAAATTTAGTTTGTACTGTAAAAGAATTTGTACCTTCATACTGTATGATAATAAAAAGGTAACGAAATTTTAAAAAAAATGTATGTAAAAATACATTTATACCGATTCAATCTATCCACTAATATATTTTGGTGATGACAGATTATTCGAAGATTATTTCCTTCAGTTGTTAATTGTATTCCAGGCTTATTGAATCGTGGCTAGCACATAACAAGGTGTGTTTGATTAATTCCTTTCGATAAGTGAACTGAAATGTATTTTAATATTTTTAACCATTCAAATAAATGTGAAGTACAATCTTATTTTTTGGTACGGCTTGAATGATTTCAAGTATTATTTCAAATTCATCTCGTTTTAATTTTTTTCTTTGGTTTTTAACTTTAAGAATCAAAACCTAGATGTTCTCATCTCACTCACATTACCACTAAACCATTTTTTGCTTTACTCGTTTTAAGTTGCTGTGTTGAAATTTCACGTTTCCATTTCAATGGATTGGAATGAAAAATGAAATGTCGAAAAATAATAAATGTTAAATACCTGCTTGCGAACGGGGCAGCCGGTAGCCATAGTACAGCGGTAATAGGCGCGAGGACACGGATTTCCCTTGGCCATTTTCTGCCCATACTTCCGCCATTGACACCCATCAGTGATCTAATTAAATGCCATTTGTCGCCACCATCCAAAGTTTAAGTCAAACCACACACAATTAATTAAGCAGACTTCCATCTTTAAATTTGACCCAAAAAAAAAAAAATCATCAATTTCATACCATTGGAGCCTCTGATCTAGCTCGAACCGACACCCGCGCCTTCCTAATTGTGGCTTCAGTCTGATCAACGCTCTTCGCCGAATTGTTGAATCTCGCTACCTTATTCCCTCCTCCCCATCCTCCTTGATCCGGACTCTCTTCTTCCCTCGCCGCCGCCGACGCCGCTTTCTTCTCTCCCTCGAACGCCGCCGCCGCCATCATCGTCGATCCTTCATCCGCCGCCGGCGACCTCGACCGGTCCCGTTCCGACGACGACAACGACAATTCATCCGTGTCGCCGGTCGTACCGCCACCAGCGGCAGCGGAGGAATTCGCCAGTCCGAGATCCATGAACTGCCGGGGGACCACCACCGCTCCTCCACCGTTGTTGTCCTGCTCGTCCGCCGGCGGCGGAAGCGGCGACGGCTTCTGATCGTGCATCAGCGACATTACGTGCATCTGCAGCGCGCTGTAGTTGTTGTTGACTTGATTCAGCATGTCTCTCAGCCGGAGATTCTCCACTTTCACCCGCTCCAGCTCCGCCTGTAGAACCACCATCTGAGATGATAATTAAAATATGATTCGCAATTAAGAATGAATTAAACAACAATCAACAGTTCATTCACTAGACTAATCATCTCATTTTCCCCTGATTAATTATTTAATTAATTAATTAACTTACCTCAGTCTTGGTTCGTCTGTCGTCGACGTTGCTGGAGGACGTGCCGTCGTCCACCATCGACTGGTCGCTGCTGGTGTTGGTGGTCAGCAGGTTCAACCCGGTCTGCACATAATCGAACCGATTCCGGTTCAAATTAATTCGAAATTCGACACCCATAGAAGAAAAGGAAGGAAAGAAAGAAAGGGGGAAAAGTAACCTAATAAATTTCAATTTCACGGGAATCGGCTTCTACTTACATTCACTTTCAACTCCAATCCACGGTTACAGTCGTCGGCCTCGGCGGCGGCGACTCTGTCGATACTCATGAGATCGAGGCCGTTGCTTGGATTCCTCTCGGCGAAGAAGTCCATCTCATCGATCACCTTCCGCCGATGATGATTGTCGCCGCCGCCGCCTTCGTCGATTGCGTCGTCTCGAGGAAGGAGATTTCGAGGGAGGCGGTTGGAGGAGGAGGAGTTGAGGTTGACCGGGAACTGAATTGTGGCCGGTTGAAGAGGATGGGAAGGAGAAGAGGAAGAGCGAGCGGCGGCGGCGGCAGAGGAATCATCCATGAGAGGGAGGGAATTGAGGATGGTTGGAATTTGGTGGTGGTCGCGAGCGAAGAGGAATCGGGGCGGCGGCGGGGCGATGGCGGTGGCAGAGCGAGTGGTATGACTAGAGAGAGTCGTCGTGGGTGAAGAATCGCGAGTAGAAGGAGCAGGAGGAGGAGGTATGGTGAGATCTGGTGAATCAATGGAGAGTCCACTGCCGCGGGCTCTGGCCATAAAATCTAGGAGGGAGAGAAAGAGAAGGGAAAATAGTAACCGGAGTTGTAATTATAAGATTTTGGGGATTGGAAGAAAGGACGGAGGAAGAATAAGCCAAGAAGGAATGAAGGAAGGAAGAGAGAGAAAACGAGAGAGAGTCTGTAGAACGGTGCAATGGACTCGGCAATAAAAAGGGGAAGGGGGGAGCAAATTAAAACCAGAGAGACCCAAAGGAAAAAAGAAATATAATATTCAAATTTCGTTTTGGATTAAATTTAATGAAATTGTGAGCGTTGCAATCAAACCCATGGCCGCGGGTATCCGACCGCCCCCGACTCAGTCAACGCGTGGAATCCCCGCTTTGATCGGGTATGGGGCGGGTATGGGTAAAACCCGCAAAAAGTTTGATGGGTATGGGGCGGGTATGGTTTTAGCCTCCCCCGCCCCATACACATCCCCATACCCGCCCCACCAAGATAATTTCTTCATATATATAAAAGAAAAATATGTGCACCAAATTATAATCTATCAATGATGATGAGGATAACTTGAGAAAATAAAGAGTAGAAATGCAATTGAGTGACCACCTTAATCAAAATATAATTCATTTCTCTCAATTCTCATTTCACTCTTTCACTTTCCCCCTTGTCAACAAGATTATGTTAGTTAATTATTATTTAGTAGATGTATCAGAGTTAGAACATAATAATTTGAAAAATATTATACTCTATATTATGTATTAATGGATATTTTAGGATCATAATCTTTGAACCATATTAAAAAAATGACCGTGTTTTGTTGACTTCATGATATAATATGTTCGTTTAGAGTTATAATTAGAACTTTTCTTGTAAGTTTTAGGTATAATAATGTTGAATTACGGGTATGGGTATTACCCATGGGTACCCGAAACCCACGGGTATGGGGATGGGTTTGCAAAACATTCCCCCGCATGGGTATGTGGCGGGTATGGGTTTGGGTATTTGAAGATGGGTATGGGGATGGTTTAAGCAAACCCGCCCCATTGCCATCCCTATCTACTCTAGTCAGACTTCGTCGTTAGGGGTGGCTATACGGTCTCGTACGGTTAAATTGGGTCAAATTGATCCTGTTTCAGTCCGGTTTTTTTGGGAATATAAGGACCAAAGATTGTATTAGATACAGTCCGGTCTTGACTCGATTCGGTCCCAATTTGATCTTGATTTTAGATTGAGCTTGTGTAGATTTGAGTGTTAGGGTCTCTTATCTTGTCTTTATCCAGTTTTTTACCTCAAATCTAAACCCGAATATGAGATTGAGTTGTTTGATATCCGGTCCCAGTCTGAAGTTATACGATTCGGTTTCAGGTAAAACCAAACAGTCCAGACCAAATATCCCAGCCCTAGTCGTCGTGTCTCTCCCAGCAGCTTAAATGTGGGGTTTTCATTTCTTCTCGTTTCGTTTTTTTTTTTTTTTTTTTTGGTGTCTTTTTCTTCCTTTGGGTTCAATATATTTTTCCTTTTCTTTAATTAGTTTGGTTGGATGTATTCAAATTATGTTGATTTGCTTGATAATTAGACACTCGTGTAAATTGGTTCCACCTACTAATTCAACTCCTGGGTCAGGGATGAGTTGTGAACCAAATCAAATAGTATGAATAGATTGATTTTGTCTAAATACCAATTTCTTTCAAGTTCACTAGTACGATGATTAATTGTTGAGATCATAAAAACACAAGAAATATTGATCACAACGAAACGATATAAGGCGCCATTTTTTGTGACTTTATGTTGGCACAATCACTATCTCATTTGCATGGCGACTTCTTGCGTGTACCATACTGATCATCCATATATTTGCAGCATTTTTATACAAATCCGTTGTGGAAAAGAAAAATTAGTGATTAAACATTGTAGTCGATTTCCTGTTTATTAGCTAAGTACCAAGTCCTTTTCAACAGCTTGTGAAGTGTGAACCCAAGCCATTAAGCCAAGCAATGTGGATTACAATTTAAAAGTTAAAACACGAGTGCGGCAGACGCAAAGCAGAAACCACAAAGCCCACACACGACTGTGTTGACAAACTATTTTTCTCCATCAAATTCATCTTCTTATTCTTTATTTTTTCTGTGAACTAAATCAATAAACAACGTCAACAAACAAAATCACAAAATTAGTTAGATGAACATAGTAGAAAGGTTAGTCTAGTTTCATTATCCTTAACTTTTGTGCGCTACTTGTGCATAAAGAAGTAGACTTACTCGATTTAGTACTCTTCAATGAACGTTTTTTATTACCATATTGTTTGACTCTGTCAAGCAAGGTTCAGTTCATTCTAATAATCAATTTACTAATTTTAAGAGGAATAACGTTTAGTATCATAGTATATTCTTTCAAGTGCAAATCAACTCGAGAGCTAATTGAAGAGCTTACTAACGCAACAAATGTATATGTTGTGGAAAAAAAATGAACTATCGATATTGAGAATCGTGCGAATTTGTAAATGAAAAATTCAGTCAAAGTCTTTACTATTATGTCCAAAATTAATCTATCACAACAACTCGATTGAGTCATTCGAAGAGATCCCATATTAATTTCTTTTATACCGTCTCCTAAAAGAAGTAGATTGATGCACCTTGTCTCGCCAAGAAGCTCGTTGCACATTGTATGGCCAGTGTAATGCACATTGTATGCCTACATGCACTAGGGAGGGTTCACATCAATTCTTGCTAGGATATATTGCCTGATTTGCCTCATTTTCTCGTAGCACTAAATATGTGCACCATTTAGTTAGTTAGGGTTATGTGTAGAAACTGAAACAAATTACAATTTGCCTCTCATACTTATTGATATTGTGATGAGTAATCGAAATATGATGCACCAACTGGAAACTGGGAAGTAGTAGTGGTTGAAGAAAAAAGCGCAAATATAAACAAACCTAGGCAAGTTTTTGAGCAATAGGATCATAGACTATTTTTTTATCATGACTTTCAGAGAACATGGCTGCCTGTTACATGCCGCCCTTCCATCTTCCAAATGAAGGAGGAAATATATTAACGAATGCATGTTGAAAGACGAAACGCATTTTGTCACAATAATTACCGCTTATCGTGATCGCGGTTATCTTCTATAATAAAGTTAAGAGCAGCAGTACATCTCTCAATTTTAAAATATAAATAAAATTACATGTAAATTTAGCATAAATTCAAAAATTAAAATTGTCGATAAAATTTACCTCTCCTCTCTCAATTACAACAATTCAAATCAGCCACTCACGTTTCCCTGCAATGTGTTCCTCCGTGGCCCTTTGGAATAGCTGAATATTATAACAGCTGAGGTAGGTGCGTGCCCAAGTTTAATAGCTTTGCTTGCACATGGGACCGCCCACACCCGATAACTTCTAGTCAGGCTGACTTCTTTCTTCTTCCTCTTTCTTTCGAGCGGTGAACCATTTTTATATGTAAGGGAAGGTGTGGCGGAGAAGAGTAAGTCCGGGGCAAACTGCGATACTAGGCTTGGTGGGTGGGACCAGACTTTTCTTTTTCTTTTTGTGAAACGAGTCCACATTAATTAGATGGTTCCAAAAGTTGAATCGTGTGTATATATTTATTATATACCTATACATAGGCGATTTCCATAAAAATATATAACTTTTTAAATTAAGATAATATAAGTTTATATTTATAATTAGGTACTACTGAAGATAAGATTATAAGAGGTTATTACAATTATTAGTAGCATATCGTCACAGAGTAAAGCAATCCAACTGCATATCATTTCGGGCTAAAGTGATCCAATCCTTCAATTGATGAACAGTACATCGAACAATCCCAAACTTGTGTATATTGAAAAAACTTTAGGACTCGTTTGGAATCTCTTATTCTAAATGTTGTATTCTGTATATACTTGTACTTTGCAGAATACAACGCTTTTTTACTTGTTTTAATCACAAAATGCATGTATAGAGAATGCATGATGGATTCATAATACATAAAAAAATGATGTAGACTTAATCTCACATTTTTTTGTGAGATTTAGTATCTATAGTTCATTTCATGTATAATTCATGCATTCTTCTATGTTTTCCAAACAAAACATTCTTAGAACCCACATACTTTTTATACACACATTCTTGTAATACACCATTTCTGAAATCAAAGGTTTCAAACAACGGGAGTGTGGCATTGTGGTATTCTCTTAGTAAGCCTTTTTGTTATAGGAAAAATATCCATACACTAGAAATTTGATGTGGCTCTATCACACTTAACTGAAATCAAATAGTAAGTAAAAATATATTAAGCAATTCGACGTGAAAAACAAAGAATCCCTAAGACCAATACGAATGGTTAAAGTTCCAAATCAACTGCGATCAAACACTTGGTCTAGTGTTCTATCGTTGGTACTCAATTTAAACGTCTCATATTTAAATATCTTTATTAGCATGCAACCATATAAATTTACCATGTCACCATAAATAAACAAAATTGACTGTTTCACTTTATTCCGTAAAATAAAAACTGTTACACTTCGGTGTCGTAGTTCTTCAGAGGTCTTGGTTTCTATTAATTTAAAATTCAACAACACAAACAAAATATATCGGATGGTCGTTTGGAGAATTAGAGTTTACATCTCTAAATTGAAAATAATTCAAAGATTATAATTCTTTAGATAGCCGGAGAAAAAATTAATTTTTTTTTTGTTTGATAACTGCGATTTTTTCTTTTCCAATAAAAATTGGAAATTCCATTTTTTTAGCAATTAACATGTTTAGATAAAATGAGAGGATAAAAAATCTTACAAATCAATATATAGAATCTCTCTAATATAAGAGATTTTATATCTCCATATCTTAATCTTTTTAAATATCTGAAACTAAAATACCCAATACAAAAAATATCAAAAATATATAATTTTCCGCTAAATTGATGAATTTGATAAATCTATACTTCAAATCTTTTTCTCCAAACAAGCATGAATCTAACTTGCACCAACACAGCAGAATGATTGTCAAGCAAACTCTTAAACGTTTAATTTTAATTATTTTTTTACTTATTTTTCGAATAATTAATATTTTTATTTGATTTTCGTCGTTTCAATACTTGGTAGTTGCTATAACAAAATTTGATTTCACTGCCGCTGTTGTTCCCGGCATCTTGTTGCCCCAATTTCTCAAAAAGTGACG